CTCACCATCTTGGTCCAGAAGTTGCTGGAGGTCTTCTCTACAAGGGTGAGTCTCTATTTCCCCCATTTTGACATTGTTTTGCTTCATTCTTTAGCCTTCTTTGCAAGCATTTTTGGGTTTTGTCTTAAACTGAAAAGTGTCTTATTTTGAGCTCCTCTTAAAGTTTGTTTAAGGATACTTTTCTGTTTGAGGTCATCTACCTCCTTGTATGCTCCATCCCTCTTTGTAGGCTTATTTTGCTTCCTATCTTAGCCTTACTTGCAAGCATTTTTGAGATTTTTCATAAACTGAAAAGAGTCTTATTTTGAGCCCCTCTGAAAGTTTGATTAAGGGCATTTTTCTGGTGGGGGTCATCTACCCCCTTGTATGCTTGTTTGCATCTTGTTTTGAGCCTTACATCTAGGCCTTTGTTTCATGCTTTGTTTGGCCTTTTAGCCACTGAAAATCCACTAGCACACTATTTTGAGAGCCAAAATCAGGGGGGGTGCCCCCCTCTCTCCTTGTCTTGTTTGTTGGCCCTTTTGGCCTTCCAAAGGGGCTCCTACTTGCATGTTGTGAAGTCACATTTCAGGCCCTATTTGGTAAGTTTTAAGGTCTGAATTGGCTCTATCCGGAGCCCATTTTTCCATATGAAGTGTCTATTTTGCATGTGTAGAGCAATCCTATTCAAGGCCTTTCAAAGGGGCTTTCACTTGCATGTTTTCTAGGCTAATTTCAGGGCTTTTTTGGTGAGTTTTAGGGCCCTCATAACTGATTTCCAGAGGTGGTTTTGCCATTTTGCATGTCTATTTTGTATGTGTTGAACAACCCCTTACATGGCCCTCCAAAGGAGTCTATCATTTTTGCATGCATTGACTGAGTTTCAGTGGTTATTCGGGCATATTTTAGCATGGCATACTTCTATTTTTGGCTGGTTCGGTAAGCCCTCATGTGCTTCATATAGCTATAGTGTAAATCATGGTTCACTAGCTTTCTTTGCATGCTTTGTTGACCCTTGATTCTAGCACATTTTGGCCTTGCCTTAAACTAATTTTGTGCATATTTTGGACTGCCCTAGCTCTGTTTTTGGGTCTCATGGTCGAATGATGTTTGTTTTGCATTCTTGTAGTTCAATACACTTGCCTAGCTTTGAGTTTCGAGGTCCATTACATGTATATGCTGAGGCATTTCCTTGTTTTAGGGCCATTATACATCATATTTCAGAGCTTGTTTGAATGCCATATTGTCATGATTTGTACTCTTTAAATGGGTTTGAGACTCGGGCTTGTATGCCCCGTTTACTGACCATTGAATGAGCTCCATTTTGTTGCATTCTGAGCTATCATTTTAGGCCATTTCCCCACTATTTCAGACCTGCCTAGGGTCTGTTTGGGGTTGATTTTGCCATTAGTGCATTGTTTTGGGTACCTCTAGAGTAACGCACTTCACTAGTTTCGGTACCCGGGCTCCCTAGCTTGCATTGTGTGCCATGTTTGCATGTTTCGGGACCATTTTGTATCATGTTTCAGAGCTGGAATTTGTGTGTTTGTATGCCCTATTGCATCCTTTTCCATGCTTTGGTAGAGTGGCATTTGATGCCTTAGGATCGATTCCTTGCATCGTGCATGTTTATATGTGTTTCGGTTGTCTCATTTCCATCATATGGCCACTGACGTGAGTGTGGCTGAGGTCCACTCATGTTGGTGTAAGTCCATCGTGCATTGTGTATGCCATTTCAGTCTATAGCATTGCGTATGCTAGGTTGCATATTAGAGCATTTTGTATGCCATGTTACATCACGTGCATTGTGTATGCCGTTTTAGTCCGTAGCATTGCGTATGCTAGGTTACATATTAGTCGCATTATGTATGCCATCTCATTTGCATTGTGTTTGGGATAGGAGTTAGCCCAAGCACGGGAAACGAGAGATGTTTCGTACTCCAAGTGACAGAACGTGTCTCAATTCCCGGTCGCCGACACTCCGGATTAACCATGATGGAGTCTAGGCCTTGTTGTGTTTATATGTGCATTCATTTCACATCGAGTGGTGCAACTCGACTCCTCGGCCATCGTGCATCGAGATGCGTGATTGGTGGCACGAGGATCGAGGTATGCATACATATGTGAAAATACTTTGCCATGCTCCTTTCTTGCTCTCTGTTGCAGCAAATCAGAAATCAGCAACCTTCTAAGGCCTTGTACAGCATTTCGGGATTAATTGCAAACAGAGGCGAATCGGGGCATCGCAAGTGATTTCTGCGCAAGGCAACTTGAGCATGCATCTTTCATCATTCGGAACAGAGCTGAGGCAGTCCATGAATTTGCATGCTAGTTTATTTGCTTTCCTAGTTAATTTGTTAATTAATTAGGGTTTGTAATATTTAATCATTCATTCGAACTGTAATTATTTATTCGAACTGTATTATTTATTCGGACCCTCCGAGCGAGGGCAATGTTGTAATAAGTGTGCGTGAGTGTGATGGATGTCTTCCAACCCCACTTCTTTCTCCCTTTTATTTACCAGCTTATGATGGTTAGATTAGGGCATGTTTCAATTAGCATACTTATGCTTGCATGTTTGCATTCATTCATCTGTCTTTCATGCACCAGGCTCGGCGCATCATACTAACTGCATTGTACTTCAATTCCGAGTTGAATACATGTTAGTTGTAGCATTTCACATGCCATTGTAGAATAGCCGAGCCTATTGTAGTTGCATTTTTGCATGTGTTGCATTAAGCATTTCAGTATAGTTAAGATCATGCATGGATTTCTAACATAGCTTCTGTTTTGGCTTGGAGTACTCGGTAAGTGTTTGTGCTTTAGCATCCTTGCATGCGTGTGAGTGACTGCCATGATAGCACGCTTACCATGAGGCTATTTGCTTATGTGATATACCTGCCTGAATGCCTGTGGGTGAAGGTTGGATTATCTGAATTGGAATAAATGCATTGACTGTGAGTTTTAAGCCCACTAGATAGTGGCAAAACCACGTTTTCTAAGCCCACCTGAGGATGGCAAAATCTGTATTTTAAGCCTACTTGCGAGTAGCAAACCGCTTTAAAAAACTAACATGAAATATTTTGTTCCAATTCAGACGATCCAGTCTATACTTGTATGCTGTGCGCATCACATAGTAAATCTAGGCCAATAGCCGGAATAAGAACGCATAATGTTTTCAAAACTAGATATCATGGTTAGTAGAGGCTGATCTTTGATCGGGCGAGCAGGGGTGCTCACGAAGTGACCTTCCCCAATCGTATCCAAGTTCCCGAGCCGAGGCAACTTTGATGATGATGGACACGTGGCCTTAGGCACGAGTCAGGTTTCCTAAATTCCCCAAAAATAAAATATTTAGGTGGCGACTCTGTATCTGGCAAAGCAGTCCATGTTTGGCACTTTTTTCAAAAAAATCTGTTTTCCAAAACGATTTGCTAGATTTGGACTCTTTGATGATTCATCGGTCTTGCATTGCACTCTACGAGATTAGATACAGGACCGTGACATTGAGTCCTGAACTGTAGTGAGCCCATATGAACGAAACGGGGGATTTCCCTCCCGGGACGTTCAGGGATGTCTACAACGACGGATTGGACGGTGTTCGGTTGTGACATTTTTTGGAGTATAACTAGTTTAAATAAGTTGTTTTCGAGTTACAGGATGAGTGTAGGATTGCATGATTAAGGTTAGTATCATTTTGGTTATGAATATATTTTCAGTTTATGTTTTGATTTGTATGATGGATGAGATGCTCTGTTTTTTGATTAATATGGATCGGATGCTCTGTTTGTTTAATTATATGCATTTTACGTGGGCATGTGAAGGGGAGGTCGTTCCGATTATGTAAAGAATGTGGATGTTCTCCTTTTACTTTGATGTTTGCTTAATGAGACTCTGTATGGGAGAGATAATTTAGAGTATATGTAACAATGTGAATGTTCAAATCTTGTTAATATGAGGTTATGGAGGGTTGCTTGCATGTTGTGTAATGTCACCTTATTGTGGTGTTGTGATTTTGAACTTGTAAAATGTTTTATGTTGTGCAAGGATGGTGGTGGTAGTTTTCACTATGGATTTAGAAGTGGAACTGTACACATAGACATTTAGTTTGCACAATGTGAATGTTCATATAGTATGGATTATTGTATGTATTGTTGTTCGTATGGTTGTTACGTGGTTGTTGACTTTTGTTTTGTTGCGTTTTTATAGGAGATGGATACCTTTATGATGTTGGTGTGCACATATGGTTGCAGTACAACTGTAATAAATGTGGTTCGTGCATTGTGTTATTCGCGTTTGGTAGAGCGGTTGTGTGAAAAAGGGATGAGTTGTTTGCTTGTTCTATTTCATTGTTCTGTCGACTACCTGGGATTAATCGGTGTGATTTAGACAATGGCGAAGGATTTCAGAACATGTTATTGCTTGCCAAATCAATGGGGTTACACCATGTAGAGGTTGTCGTTGATTTGAAACGTGATATTGGTCAGTTGAGTTGCTCTAGGTTGTTGCATGTGGGGGGTGAAGAAGACATTGATGTACTCCAGAGATTTTGCCACCATAAGGAGAAGGTGTTATTGTCAGCCCCTTGGGCAAATAGTATTACGCATGTGGGACAACGATTTGTTGGAGGTGCACAAGAATTTCGTGATATTTTATGTAAGTATGCAATCCAATGCGGGTTTCAATTTGTGTATGTCAAGAACGAGACAACAAGGGTTATTGAGGTATGTGCGATGCACGAGGAGAGAGGTTGCTTGTGGTCTATATATTGTAGAGCACAACGGGCAATTGGTTTTTTCTATATCAAGAGGTTCAGTGATGTGCATAGTTGTGGTAAGGATGTCCGAACATCAAAGAATTAGAGAGTTAGTTCTGATTTCATGTCAAGTACTATTTTTGAAATTGTAAGGGACAAGTCGTTGACTCGGCCATGTGAGGTGGTGACTATTTTGAAGAGGGATTATGGGCTAGATAGGAGTTACCACGTGGTATGGTTGGGCGTGGAGAAAACAAAGGCTATTATGCGGTGGTATTCGGATGCTGTGATGCGTTACAATCCGGGGAGTTATGTCAATATTGATTATGATGTGAGTAGTCAGCAGTTTTGTTGTTTCTTTGTATCATTCATTGCGTGTATTTCTGGTTACAATTCTTGTTGGCCTTTGCTATTCCTAGATGGAACATTCCTTAAAGGAAAATACAAAGGTCAGCTACTTGCGGCAACGGTGAAAGATGGAAACAATGGTTAGTATTTTTTTTAGCTGTGTATCTATGTAAATATTCACATTGAGTGGCACAGTATAGATATATGACTGACCATTGCACAGCGTGAACATTCACATGACCTGGTTGCTTTATAATGTTTTTGTAAACTACTTGTGTTAATATTCACATTGGAATATTATGATCAGTTGTTTAATGGTGTTGTGTTGTAGATCTATTCCCTGTTGCATTTGCGATTGTTGATTCAGAGACCAAGGTCAATTGGTCGTGGTTCTTGCATGAACTTGGGAAGGGTATTGATGGTAAGTGCCAGATTACTTTTGTTTTGGATCGTAATCTCGGTCTGTTAGAAGCTATGCCAAATGTGTTTCCATCGGCTCACCACGGTTATTGCTTACAACACTTGAAGAACAATTTAAGAGACTGGATGAAAGGATTGATAATGGATTTAGGGATCACCTAGTTAGTAGTTTGGGTGACTATGCTTACGAGCCAACTGTGGTAGGGTTCCATGAAAAACTTGAGAAATTAAAAGAGGAGGGTAAGCAACGAACACATAATTTTTTCAAGGACTTGGCACCTGAGCATTGGACAAATTCATACTTCAGGTAATAGTAGTTTCCTAATGTATTTCATTTGTCAAGTTTAGAATGGTAGCGATGTGAATTTTCAGTTATGTTTTGTGGCAATGTGAAATTTCATATTCAGTTTCGAAGAAATTAAATTCAGTATTGTACAATGTTTGTGATGTTGTGCAAGGGGCATGAGTTATGGGGAGATGACATCCAATGCGGCGGAGCCATTTAATAATTGGATTAAAGAAGCACGCAATCTTCTTATCACTCAAATGATGGACACAATTCGTACTCAGTTGATGCGGCAAATGTCTGCATGACGTAACCAAACAAACAAGTGGAATGAGTTTATTTGTCCTACATTCGAAACAATGCTTCTTGATTCGTTCAACGACAGCAGGTCTTGGCAAGTTAGCAAAGCTAATAAGGATGTGTTTGAAGTTCATTTGATACCGTCTGTTATAGTTGATAGTGCAAGGTGTACGTGTTCTTGCTTCAAATGGCAAATCAACGGATTCCCATGTGACCATGCTGTGATTGCTATTCAGAAGAGCCACTACAATCTCAATGATTGTGTGGAATATTACTTTCATGTAGAGACATATCGTGCAGCCTATTCGGGTGCCATATTCCCTATACCATCGGTGGAAAAGTCGCTTTTTGACCCCACAGACTTCACTATATACCCACCAACTATGAAAAAATCACCCAGAAGGCCGAAAAAGAATAGAATCCCATCAAGGGGTGAGAAACTGAAGCAAATAAGGTGCGAGAGATGTGATAAGTTGGGAAGCCATAATCAAAAATCATGCAAGGAGCCGATATAGGGTGTACATGTTTCATTTCAACATTATGTTTTACATGGGATTCTTATATTGATTTTTGAAATAAGATTGTGTTGTGTTGGTAAGCATTGTGTTGCAATAAGATTACGTTGTGTTGGCAAACATAATAATGGTTTGGTAAACTTAGTATTTGATTTGTGTTTTTCCTTTTTTTTTTTTGTTGGGTACCAAACTGATATTTTGTTAATGTTTTAATGATGAATACATGATGTGGACATTCACATTTGCATAAAGAATCATATTATGTGCATACTCGCACATGAGTTGAACTTTTTTACATTATTATTGTCAATGTTCACATGAATATAAACTATGATGTGAACTTTCACATGCATACAGATTGACATGGTGTGAGCATTCACAATTGTTATGAATAAGAACAAATGTGAATATTCACACCTATGTATGTTATCTGTAATGATGTCATATAGACAATGTGAACATTTTTGCACGAAATATGTGTATTATAGAACAATCGGGTTTAAACAATCGCATAAATTAACGTAACAACATAGCTGTATATCATAAGTGAACATGAACATTCACATTAGTGGTACAACTGTGAACATTCACATCTGTAAAATATAAGTACATATGAACATTCACATTAGTGGTACAGATGTGAATGTTCACATTTGGTAGAGTTGAATAGTATTCACAACTGTTATGAATAAGAACAAATGTGAATATTCACACTTGTGTATGTTATCCATAATGATGTCATATAGACAATGTGAACATTCCTGCACAAAATATGTGTATTATAGAACAATCGGGTTCAAACAATCACATAAATTAACATAACAACACCAAAGGTAGATTAAAATTCACAAGTGGCTTTTTTTTCCCCATTAATAGATGTCGTATCACTAATTTACAATCAATTATTGTGTCAAAATGTCAAAGCAATTGATATTAACATTCACATCGAGTGTTGGTTAGCTTATAGGTGGACATCCCCCACCTATAGATTTTAATGACGCTCTGTTTTCTTATGATTCAAAAAACTGTGTACTAATAAGTCTCGTAGTCCACACCATTCAAAACTAGTGAGGCTACCAATAATTTCTTCATAGTATATGTGCGCCCGCATGATATAACATACTACAGGCTTGAAGTCCATCCTGTAAATGCAAAATGGTTATGATTAGCACTTGATATGTATGTTTGCATAATGGTTATGGAGGATTTGTAAAAAATGTAGTGAGGCTTACGAGTCGTCGCCCTGCCAAGGACAGACATCAACTGATATGATTGGTTATGACGGATATTGGCCCGCTAACTTAGTCCATAGCGGTGATGACTCGCCAATAACGTGCACAACGTTTTCGATGTACTTCTTCTATGTAGGCAATTTCACATTAGGCACCAACGAACATATGTGTGTGTACATTCATTTTTGGAATTTAACACATGACAACAATTCATATTTGTGTACAATAAGAGCCACTTACAACTTCCCGTGCTTGTCGATATGTAGGTTATGTATGCTTGTCCTTGGGCGAAATAAGTTATAATGCCTCCACAAATTGTCTTTAGCATCATACACAACTATCGTCCAGTGGAAGTCATGGTGTAATGGGAATAGTAGGTATCTCTCTCCTTGGTAGTTTTTGACATGTGCATCAATGTGTTTACTCCTTTTGCGAGGATGGTACTCTTGTATCACTTTCTGTACACATTGGACAAATAATTAATAGACTGTGAAGTTTCATATTCACATTAGCGAAAATAGAATGTTAGATTTTACCAAACACATGCTCGTGAAGATGAATGACGCTTCATCTGAAGTTGGATTGACCACCTCTTGTTATTCATGTAATAATTCGACATATGCATCTATGAGCTGCACAAACATAGGGTCA